GATGCTGATGCCCTTAGAAGTAGGAGTCTGAGCCGGGCGTTGGTGGCGCACGCCTTTAATCCCAGCACTCGGGAGGCAGAGCCAGGCGGATCTCTGTGAGTTCGAGGCCAGCCTGGGCTACCAAGTGAGCTCCAGGAAAGGCGCAAAGCTACACAGAGAAACCCTGTCTCGAAAAACCAAAAAAAAAAAAAAAAAGAAGTAGGAGTCTGAAGCAAGGGAGGCATCCTTAGGGAACAGCATGACCCTGGAGTAGGAAGCCAGGCTCTACCCTAGCTAGACTAGGGTATGTTCTGTCCAGGACATCTGGCAGCTGGAATCCAATGTGATGTTTGCAGAAAAGCCTCCGGCACTGCCTCCCACTTCCCCGCAAGCCACACATAGATGCTGTAAACACTTGAATACAAGGATTAGCTCCCCATGTGGTGTCTGGGACATTGTGAGAAACTCTTGGTCGCCGTGTTTGTATCTTGTTAAATTGATTTTTTTTTTAACCTCCAGCACTTAGAACATGAGGCTTGGTACATATCCAGTGTTCAATACATATTGATGCATGGATAAACGAAGGAAGGAAAGGGTGCCCCATTGAATAGAGGATAGAGCTATCAAACCACAGATGCAGACTCTTGGAACAGGCTAACCACAGGGTTAACCTGGGCTAGGTTTTGGGAGATGGCAGAATGAAGAGTTTGCACAGGCTAGACCCCACAGTGTCTGGGTCACAGGAGAATAGCTCATAGCATTCAACCGTTGAACCAGCCTGGCTCCATCTTAGGCTTAAAAGCCATCTTACAATAACGACGAGCTAGTCTCCTTCCTTTATGATTAAACCTTTGTTTCTCAAGGATTGAGCTATGCCCCACCTGTAACCTTGACTACAAATGGTTCTGTATTGCCTGTTCCAGGAATGAAAATCATGACTTTGTTTCAAAAAGTTAATAACCATCTTACAAAGGTGCCTTGGTTTCAGAAAGGGTTGTTATGGCTACCTTGTGATGACTACCTGTTGTTATAACCACCTTGTCTTTGTTTCAGGAGGCTGTTATAACAAACTTGATAAGTTTATGTTATGCTCCTGTAACCCCACCCATTTTGTCCGTCAGATTCCCCATTTGGAACCCCCCTACCCCTGAGTAAAAAACTTTATCTTCCTCACATTTAATGTTCAAACCCTGCCTTAGGGGGAGGTAGCCCATGTACACAAATTAAAAAGCTTGCTGTAATTAATTTTGGCCATGATGAGTTGGGCCGGTGATGTTTCTCCTCCCATCATTGGGATTAACACAATGTATCTTTCCTTAAGACTCTGGACTCTGAGACAATGTGTCTAGGTTTATTCCAGTGCTAAACCTTGCTTCCTAGTCTTTGATATTACTAAGTACTCTTTTTAGAAACCCCTAAGGTCTCCTTAAAAGGAAGGGTAATGTGAAGAATTCCAGGAGGATTGGATGAGCCTGGCGTGGGTGTGGGTAGTTTAAATTTCTGGACCAGTTCAGGAAGGGCGTCCCAAAGCCAGCAGGAAGACTGCAGTTCCCCATTATGAACACTGGGGGGCATCTGGACCATGGAATACCCGAGCTCCACCTCCCACATCTTTGGAAAACTGATTGAATTCAACAAACGTTTCAAAATCGTTACAATAATAATAGCTCCCGTGTGTTGAATATCCAATTCACTGCTGTATAAATATATACATATATTTTGTTTAATATTCACTACGATTGTGAATTGCTTAAGGAAAAACCTAGGCGGAAGGAAATCAATGCTCCTACCTAAGGCCACTTAGCTAAAATTAAAAAAATAAACAATAAAACAAACAAACAAAAAAAAAAAACATTTGGGAGAAAGGAGTTGAACCCCAGCCTGTAAGCACCAACAATAAATAACAAATGAATGTAAGGAAGCTGGGACAGGGGCCCTCTGGATAGAGGCAGGCAGGGGTGCCACACAGTCTCATTGCAGAACCATTCACACATTCTGAAACCAGAAGATGGATTACTGACAGTTTGTACATTTCATACGGTAATGTTTCTGCTTCCTCCAGAAATGATGTTATTAAATAAATGAAGTGTCTCACATCTATGGTATCTTAACACAGAAGAAAGACTGAGAGATACAAGGCAGGAAATGGTGTTTGCATTTGGACACTTTTTAACAATTGCTCAAAAGAATCCAGACTATAATGAACATGTTGTTGTTGGTTTTTTTTTTTTTTGGTTTTTCGAGACAGGGTTTCTCTGTGTAGCTTTGCGCCTTTCCTGGAACTCACTCTGTAGCCCAGGCTGGCCTCGAACTCACAGAGATCCGCCTGCGTCTGCCTCCCCAGTGCTGGGATTAAAGGCTTGCGCTGCCACTGTGAACATGTTGTTTGGCAGAGCTGGGAAGGATAGCCCAGGCCTTGGGGATGCCAGCCCAGCACTCTCCCACCCAGCCTTATCCCCAGCCCTTCAGTTAGTGCCTAACTAGGACTCTTGCACCCAGAGCTGTCCATAGCGCCTTGCCTGAAGTTCCTCAGCTACTCCTCATGGCCCTAAGCTAAGGGGTCACAATGTGATGATCCCCTTTACTGAAGATCCAGTAAATTACGTTGCTAATTTGGGGTGGGAAGAAGAGGGGTTCAACTGCAGGATTGGAAAGTGGGGTTGCTTCTGTCCAGCTAAGAGCTGAGGCCTCCTTGGCTGGGGACCCTTCTCCAGTGACAGGCCATTTGGGAAGTGCAGTGTGTGCTCAGGAAATGGCCAGATTGGATTTCAGAGAAGATTAAAGGAGCTAAATCTGGCCGGGGCTGGGGGAGGTGCCAGGAGAGGGAATTGCAAAGGGCCGGCAGCTGGGAGACCCAGAGGAGTCGGCCTGGGACCTCGGCCTGGGACCTGTGGTGGGGGTGGGGATCCCGAGTGAGGCCGGAAGCCCTTTTGACCCCAAGAAGGCTAGAATGCTGGGTCAGCCTGTAGAGACATTCTACTTAAACGGAGTTAGGGGTGGGATGGGGGTCAGATACCCGGTTGAAAAGAGATGCTGGGCCAAGCTGAGAAGAGACGGGGAGAAGCAACTGGGGTGTAACCCCGTTCTGAGTTTTTGTGCCTGGAACCCCAAGGCCCTGACTCCGGGGGTTGTCCTGTGATGGCGCGGAGCTACGGAGCTACGAAGAAAAGAAGTGGGAGCAACTCGAATCCCCTCCCCCACTGGGCCCTCCTCTCCTTGCTGCCCCTCCCCTATCCTGAGTGGCAGCAGCGGCTGTGGCCGCTCCCAGTCCCAGGGGTAGGAGCTCAGTGCTTCTTTCTATTCCGGTACCCGGGATGGGAGGAGGGCGTGATGATCCGAGACATGAGGAGGGGCGTCCCGGAGGACTCTGGGACCGTTGTGGGTACAGCTTCTGGGAGGAGAAACACTTCTTCCAGTGCTGTTGGGATGTTCGTGGGAAAGGAGCCTGTCGGGGGCCATCTCTGTCCCGGGGGACCTGGGGAGCTGGGGTGCTGGGAATCGCAGCAGCTGGCAACGGGCCTCAGAGTCTCTTTCCAGCTCTTGAGGTCTCAAGATCAAGCCTGGCTCCCAGCCCCTCGTCTTCAGGCAGCCTGTCTAGAAGGGATGTGTGGATGAGGCCGGTGGGGGGCAGTCTGTGGCCAGGGTGCTACCCAGGGGACTGCATTTGTGCGGCACTGGCATTTGTGGGGGGGAGGGGGAGGGGTGGTGTCCAGCTCTTTTGCCCTACAGCTAGGAAACCTTCATCCCCCACCCCCCACCCCCGCACCCATCCAAAAAGGCCTTGGCTCCCTCCAGGAGGGCAGTGGGGCTGGAGAGAGAAGTAGTAGGTTCAAAGGTCGGGAAGCAAATGAACATGGGACTTTTTCCCATGGAAATCCCCTCATAGGACTGAGTTAAAGAGAAAGGTTGAGGTCGAGGCTGCCACGTCTGTCCGCTGTATGGCCCACGCAGAGAAAGGGCCAAATCTTGGCGGTTTAGTTCTTCTTGATGGTGGTGGAGGTAGTTTGTTGTTTTTGTTGTTGTTTATTTGTTTGTTTTTGTTGTTTTTGTTTTTGTTTTGGTGGTGGTGGTGTGGGTTTTGTTTTGTTTTGCTGTGCAGCTTTAGGGAACATACCGCTCACCTCTCCAAGCTCTACTCTGTCTACTCCGTAAAAGGAAGACAGAAATGGCTGCTTCACACGGTTGTGAGGATTAGGCAGGGTTTCTTTCCTACCGCAGCTATCCACAGAACCCTGCCCGGTACATACAGAGTTGGTGCTCATGAGTGGCAGCTAGGTCTGACGAGAGGCAGCGTAGGCTGTGGAAGATCTGGAATCACAAGGCGGCCGTGGCTGTGCATCTTGGCCTTGTGCCTCTGCCCAGAAGTAACTGTTGTGGACAGGGGTGCGATGTGGCAATGGCTGGCCCTTACTGAGAGACCACTGTGATGAATGATTTAGTTGCTGGTCTTGTCTCCTCAATGCAAGGTGCTCTTCTCCTTTCACCGATGGAGAAATTGAGGCCCAGCAGTACTGGGGGTTGAATGTAGGACCTCGTGTGTGCTAGTGTTCGACCACCAAGCTACAGTCTGGTTGGTCTCCAGTTCACTGTGTATCCCAGGTTGGCCTGGACCTCTGGTGCCCCTGCCTACACCTTCTGAGTTCTGGGATTCTAAGTGTGCCATGTCTAGCTTTCATCAGCTCCTGCATTCTTTTCTTTTTGTTTTGTTTTTTGTTTTTTGAGGCAGGGTTTCTCTGTGTAGCCCCTAGAACTCACTCTGTAGTCCAGTCTGGCCTCAAATTTAGAAATCTTCCTGTCACCGCCTCCTGAGTGCTGGGACTAAAGGTGTGGGCCACCACTGCCTGGCTTACATTCTTCTTCTTCTTCTTCTTTTTTTTTTTTAAATTACATTTTAAAAACATTGATTTTGTTTGCATATGTGTGGATATGCATATGTACCACAGCTCATGTGTGGAGGTCAGAGGACAATGTGTGGGAATTTTCTCCTTCCATTATGTGGATCCCAAGGATTGAACTCAGGCCATCAGGAATGGCAAGAGTCACCTTTACTTGCTGAGCCATGTGGCTGGCTCACTGAGGCTCAGAGGGGTGAATAAACTCGCTCCAGAGAGATCCATCTGGAATCTGAATCTAGGCAGGATCTGCCTGCTCTTCCCCAATTCTTTCTCTGTGGAGTCAAGCAGAAATGGAGCCATTGTGTTACTGTTACTCAAAGGCTTTAAGAAGATGGGAGGGTAAAGGCTAGGGGAGCCCTAATAACATACAACAAGCCAGGTGTGGTGGACAGGCCTGTAAGCCCAGCACGTGAGAGGCTATGTAGCAAGACCCTGTCTGGGTGTGCCCTGGAATTTCAGACCCAGTTTCAGTGGGAACCTGGATAGTTCAGAGACTAAGAACCCACCCACCAAACAAGCGCAGCCTGTTGGGGTACTGTTGTGTGTTGTGGTCTGAAGTGTCAGAGAAGGCCCCTAGGGCCTGAGTGGACCCCCAAGATGACCGTGACTCCACTGGCTGTGGGAAGAGCAGGGTGATCCTGCAGAGCTATAAATAGCAGCGGTACGTAGTGGCCCTGCCTCGGCCAGCCACTCAGGCCCTGTTTGAAGTACCCACAGCCTCAGAGGGCTGGAGGAAACCTGGAAAGGGCCCAGCACAGCAGGAATATGACCAAACTAGAGGGGCTGGAACCAAAAAGGCCCATGAGGTGAGATGAAAGGAATGGGGATGAGTCAGAGAGGGAAGCAAGCGCTGAGTGATGATGATCCAGGATCCCGGCTGGAGGCCTGGAGCCACCGGTCTGTGCTACTCGAAGAGAAGGGCGAGCCGGGTTTACCTTGCTTTAGTCACGAGAATTGGCTCTGGTGGTGGCTGAAGGGCCCTGCACTGTCCAAGCGTGTCGACCCCCTCCTTTCCGCAGATCTCAACACCTGATGCTGTGCCTGGGGTGGTGGCGCACACCTTTAATCCCAGTACTTGGGACACAGAGGTAGGCAAATCTTTGTGAGTTCAAAGCCAGCCTGGTCTAAGTAGAGAGTTCCAGGCCACCCAGAGCTACACAGTGAGACGCTGTCTGAAATAAAAAACAGTAGCAAAGACACAAACCACAAGCAAACAAACAAAAAAAAAAAAAACCAACAAAACCAAACCTGATTCCAGGGCTGGCCAAAGAGTGGGACCTCCTTTTCTCCTCGCCAGCTCGGCCTCATTGTCCCTTGGACAAGTTCAGGGCTGGTCAGGGCTAAGAGGGTAATGATGAACAGAAAGGTTCAGGAGTATACCCTACAGTCTGCTGGGACTGGAGACGTGGGGAAACTGAGGCTCAGAGAACCCAGGGTCTGTATCTGCTGTGGGGACAGCCAGTGACTTCGAGGATGAGACCATAAGAAACCTGGGAGAAGGGAGAAAGGAACCAGGGTGGAGAGATGGTAGTACCACAGAAGGTTGGCAGAATAGGCATGTCAGCATGTGGTGGGTAAGGTCTCTTTATACACCTGTGATCTGGTTTCTCTTAATGGGGAGTCTGGGGTGCACAAAGACTCCAGGCCAGACTGCTCCAAGTGGCTCTGAAAAGTCAGTGAGAAATTAACTTCTGGGTCAGCTGTGTGGCTTGGTAGGCAAAGGCCCTTGACCTTAAACCTGGCGACCCGAGTTCAAACCCCAGTGCCCACATAGTAGAAAGACCGAACTGACTGGACCCTTGTCCTCTGGCTTCCGTATACGTGATGTAGTATGACTCCCTCCTAGTAAACAAAACAAACAAATAAACAAATGCTTTAAAAATTAAAATCAAGCCAGGCAAGGTGCCGAAGGCCTTTAACCCCACACTCGGGAGGCAGAGGCAGATAGATCTCCGTGAGTTCGAGGCCAGCCTGGTCTACAGCGTGAGTTCCTGAACAGTCAGGGATCCACAAGAATAACCCTGTCTTGGAATTCTGGATCCTCCTGTCTCAGCCTCCCAGGCACTAGAATTACAAGCCCCCTCCCCCACCCACCCCCAGCCCTTCTTCTTCTTTTTTTTTTTTTTTTCTACTGAAGCTTCTCGCTCTGGCCTCCACCTTCATGAAGTCTGCTTCCATTACCACCTGAATTTTGTGGCGCTGACATAGTCCTTAAGGCATCACCCCGAGGCCAGGCCTCAACCTCCTCCACCCCCCACCCCCTTTCATTCCTTCCCTCCTACCCTCATGGACACAGACGTCCTATTTGGTAAAAGCTGGGGTAGGAGGAGGTGAGATTAGCCCCAGACGTCTCCTACTTTGGCAGAAAACCCAAGGGACTCGATGTCTGTAAAAGGAGTGTGTGTGAGGGGGGTCTGGAGCAGGGCTGGGGTGAGGATTGGGGGATGAGGAGCCCAGTGGAAGAAGAGATTTTTTTTTTTTTGGCAGGGGATGGGGGCAGGGGCAGGAGCGGGAGGTGGAGATATTTGAGAACAAGAGGATGCGTTGGGGAGGTCTTAAGCCAATCAGAGGAGAAGCGGGGCAGAGGGTGGGTCTTTCTGACTGAGTCATTGCCCCTTCTCAATGCAGCCTGCGGGAGAGATGAGTTTCAGGGAGAATCCTATCCTGACGCCATCCTGGCTGGGCCCCCCCAGCTGCAGCCCCGCCCCGAGGGTTTCAGGAAGAAACAATCGCCTCTGGACATTCCTTCCCTTTTACAGTCACTCAGGAGCCTGAGCTGGGGAAGGCTTAGGAGCTGCTAGCGAGGGGAAGCTGAATGGGGGCGGCAAAGGGAAAGGGGTCCTCCGGAGACAACCTCCCCTCTGCTGCCCAGAGACTCAGCCTGTCCGAAACGAACACCCGTCCCCACCCAAACCAGACCTGGCCGGGTCCCCCTCTCACAAAGGTCACGCCAAGGTCAGAGAGGACATGGCGCTTGTGGGATGGCACAGATGACTGCAGGTTGGACCCATCCAGGATGAGCACCCATCTTGACCTCCCGTGGGAACTCGACTACGCTGGGCCCCGTGTTTGTGCCTCTAGCCGTTTTCCCTATCGCGTGCTGTAGTGTTGACAAGGGTACAGGCTCCCAGAGTTCACCGGGCGCCCCAGGGTTACCAGGGCCCTCTCAAAGGATGGCTGACCGGAAACAGACAGAGGGGGTTGGGCCCTGGGGAAAGGAGCGTGCTTGGTCCAGTTTGGATATGGTTTGTCCTCCTTGGGTTCCTGTGCTGGAAGTGTGACCCCCTGTATTGATTTTAAGTGGTAGCTGACTTCAGAGGAGGGCTGTAAGTGACCTTAGGTTGTGGAATCTTTAAGAGGCATAAATTGGGCGTGGGAGCTCATGTCTGTAATCCCAGCACTTGGGAAGTGGAGGCAGAAAGATCAGAGTTCAAGGATATCCTCTGCTACACAGCAAGTTTGAGGCCAGCCTTGGCTACATGAGACCCTGTCTTTTTTTTTTTTTTTTCTTTCGAGACAGGGTTTCTCTGTAGTTTTGGTGCCTGTCCTGGATCTCGCTCTGTAGACCAGGCTGGCCTCGAACTCACAAAGATCCGCCTGCTTCTGCCTCCCGAGTGCTGGGATTAAAGGCATGCGCCACCACCGCTTCCCGAGACCCTGTCTTAAATAAAACATAAACTAGGTTGGTGAGATAGGTCAAGGCACCTGTCACCAAGAGTGATGACCTGAGTTTATTTAATCCCCAGGTCCCACAAGGTGAAAGAATGGAATCCTGCAAACTGTCTAAGATCTCTCTGCCTGTGCACCGTCTTGACCTCCCATGATCCTGAATGGAGTGTCACACACACACACACACACACACACACACACACACACACACACGTGCTCACGAGAGAGGTGAGGCATGGTTGGAGGGGGGTAAGACAGGCTGCTCTTTGGAAGTATTAATATAGAGATGGGAGAGATGGCTCAGTGGTTAAAAGCACTTGTGCGCTCTTGCAGAGGACCTGGGTTAAATTCCCAGCATCCACATGTAGGTTCACAGCCATCTGTAACTCTAATCCCAGGGGCTTAACACCCCTGTCTGGCCTCCAGAGGCACCAGGTACAGACTTGGATACAGATAAAACCATACATACATACATACATATATGTGTGTGTGTGTGTACATATATATGTATATGTATGTATGTATGTATGTATATATATATATAATTAAAATAGTTCTCAAGAAATTCCAATCAGCTCTCTGCAAGAGTAAGTTATAAAAAAAAAAATAGCATGATTCCTGAATCACTCTCAAGCTTTCAGGCTTCCTGCCTTGCTTTGTGATCTGTTCTGCATGTGTTCCCTCCCACACTGTGATGTCATCAACCTTCATCGAAGCTCTTCATGAAGTCCCCAGATTCAGGCATTTTGTGATAGCAATGACAACTGAAATAAGACAGCCAGCCAGTAGAGGGAGGACATGCTATGGGAGGGATCAGCACTGTCTGGTCCCTGGGATCCTAGGGTGAGGCCCTTTTCCTTGTTGCAAAGAGCACAAGAGTCTGGTTCTCTCTCTTCCCATCCTGCAGTTTTGGCTCATCCAAGAGTCTTGTTCTCTACCCCAGCTCTCCATCTATGCCAGCCGCCTGTCACCCATCTGTGCCATCCATGGAATCTTGGGGCATCTCGGGGTTATCCAGGACCCTTGTGTTTCAGGGAGCCCTCTGTGAGGTCCGAGATGTGCAGGGAACTGCATGTACCTGCGAAGCCTGGAGCCTGGGGAGAGCTTGGCAGTGTCCCAACACAAAAGAGGCTTAAGTAAGGGACATACAGAGAGGCAAGGCAGCTGAAGTTGTCAGAGTGGGTGGGGCCATCCCTGGGGCAATGTTTGCTACCAGCAAAGGTGTTCTCTGCTGCATAGTGGAGACAAGTTAGGTGTAGACGGGTAGGTAGGCTTTGTGCAGACAGTGAGTTCCTAAGCTGTGGAGGGGCTCAACCAGCCAGGTGCCCACAGGAACCGCAGTGGAGGAGATTAAAGCCGTAAACAGAGGGATGAGCAAGGGCTGTTCCATCCGAAGACCTGTGGGTCCCAGCCTTAAATGTCAGAGTACTTCAGATTTTCAGCGAGACTGTCTGTCTTCCTTCCTTAGTCAACAACATTTAACACCAGTATCCACTGTGGAAGGCCTGAATCTTACATCATACACAGATTGTGTGTGTGTGTGTGTGTGTGAGAGAGAGAGAGAGAGAGAGAGAGAGAGAGAGAGAGAGAGAGAGAAAGAGAGACAGAGAGAGAATGTATGTGCAGATTCATGTGTGCAGATGCATGTGGGTGTGCATGTACTTGTGTGTTCGTGCAGGTGAAGGACAACCTCTGCTGTCATTCTTCATTGCTGTCATTTTAGCTTTTAGGTTGTTTGTTTGTTTGTTTGTGTCTTTGTCTGGGACAGGGTCTCTCACTGGTTTGAAACTCCCTAAGTAGGCTAGAGTGGCCCCCAGCAAGCCTCGGGATCCGACATGTGTCTGCCTCCCCAGCGCAGGAGTTACCAGCACTCGCCACTTGCCCCACTTCCCCCCCTAACGTGGGTTCTGGGGACAGAACTCAGGTCATCATGCTAGCAAGGCAAACCCTTTACCAATTACCCCACCACAGCCTCCGAGAACTTAAAGTGTGTCCGACAAATAGGTTGGCCTGGGTGGACCTGAACATTTCCCAGTATCAATGAGCTCCAGCAAGAGGTGTGATCATGAAATAACGTGAGTTTACATTAAAAAATAACTCACCAAAGTAGGCATTCAAAGGTGTGTCCTGAAGATGTTCCAAACAGCATTGTTTATACTAACAAAAGACTATATAACTGTTCATAAATAAGGGACGTGCTGAATAAACTGTGCCAGATCCGTAGAGTGAAATACAAGCAAAGACATTAAAGTGAAAATCTTCAGTTCATAGCCTGCAATATTGTAAAGATGTTGATATCCCCCAAAGCTGTGCATATATTCAGTTTGATCTCTATCAAAACTCCACTTTTTGCCAGGCATGGTGGTACATGCCTTTAATCCCAGCATTCGGGAGGCAGAGGCAGGCGGATCTCTGTGAGTTCGAGGCCAGCCTGGTCTACAAAGCGAGTTTCAGGACAGCCAGGACTGTTACACAGAGAAACCCTCTCTTGAAAAACAAGACAAAACAAAAAGCAAACACAACAACAACAAAAACCCCAAAAAATCCAAATTAAAAAAAGCCCCATTTTTTTTTTTTTTTTATAGAAAACAAAAAATACGTCCTAAACTGCCTACGGTCTCTCAAGTGGCTTCAACTAAAAAAACAAAACAAAAGCTGGAAAAGAAGAACAAAGCTGGCCAACTTATATGTGTTGATTTCAAAACACTACTAAAGTTACAGTTATCAAAACAGTGTGGTACTAGAATAAATACAAATATATAGGCCAATGGGAAAGAACAGAACTCAGAAATAAATCTCACATAGTCACATGGTTTTCAACCAGGGGACCAAGATCATTCAATGAGAAAAAGGCAGGTCTCCACAAATGGTGGTGGGAACATGGACCATTCACATGCAAGAACCAACTTGGGGCCATTACCTTACACCCTATATAGAAATTAGCCCAAAATGTAACTGTACTTAAACACAGTTAAAAAGTACAAAATTGTTAGGAAAAAACCATAGTGGGGAAACATCATGTCACTGGATTTGGCAAAACTGATGATATCTTGGATATGGCTTAAAAATGTGAAAAAGAGAGATAAATTGACTCTTGATTTTCACAAAAATTAAAAAAAAAAATTATTAGCCGGGCGTGGTGGCGCACGCCTTTAATCCCAGCACTTGGGAGGCAGAGGCAGGCGGATCTTTGTGAGTTCGAGGCCAGCCTG